GAGTCTTTTAATAGTACATCCTGCCCAGATTCATCAGACCCATGAATGATTGGTCAATCCATTGTTTTCCTCCTCCAAACCCCAAATCCTCCGATTCCTATCGAGTCTCTCCCTTTCGCGCGGCGACGGCGACTTCGAAGCGAAGAGCTCCAGTGCCGTTCTCGACGCCCCTACGCTCAGATATCTCGAGTCCATGACAATCCCCGAAGAGAACAAACTGTTAGCATACGCACTTCCTTCCGTAACGGGGAATCGATCGCCGGAATAACGTTGTTTGGACCCTTCTGTCCAACTTCGCAAGCTTGTTTGAGGATATTCCACAGGTTTTCGCCGAAACACCCCGATTGGTCTAGCGCCGACCTTGCTTAATGTTTCGTTGTCCCGAATCGGAAGAGGAGACGTTGATTGCGTCTTCCTTCGTTTACGAGCCTTTTATGGGCAGGTACGTGAGATCCGTGGTCCCTGCGATCTCGATACCCCAACGGTCCGCGACCACCGGGGTCTAACAATAATAATTAATCCCCGCGTGGATGTCCTCGCGATCATCTCTACTCTTCGACGTGGATCTCGCAGCTCGAATGATTCAAAGCGATACGAAGCGACGACATCAATTTCCGAGGAAAAAGTCCCGACTCAGACGTACGGAGACTATCTCTGGTGCAACCCCCGCGATTTCTACGGCGAAAACTCTGGCTCACGGCAGTTCGGAAGGGGAAGAAGGAGATTTCGGTTGAGATTCTGGCCGGCAGGCGGCAATGATTTCCGACCAGAAGTTGGCCGTCCGTTGTGTCAGCCGCATGCGATTGAGCTCAGTGGTTCCGTACCCTCTCGGGAACGATAATTGCGACCGAAGGCTCCGGAACGAACCGAGAGCGGCAGAAGCGTATTTTTGCCAGAATTTCGGCGGCTTCGAAGAATTCGTAGCTGATTCGAAGGCGTTGAGTGAATCGCACAGACTGCCTACGATTAGGTTTGAGCGATCAGCAAGGGAAGCTCTATTGGATTTTCCAACTCGGCTCGATGAGAGAAACGATGCGAGCACAGAAAGATGACGGCTGACGAAACGCATCGGAAGCGTTTGTCTAAGGCTGGTGCGTTGTCTGCGAGACTGTGCTCCGATCAGCCGCCCGAACCAGCTGCTGCGGCTACTTTGTTGAAATTCCGCGTTACGAGAGTTCTTAGCGACGGCTGATCGTGTGCGCTCGGCTTGAGAAACTTAATGCAGAGATCACCTTCCCAGCAACGACGGCTTGGATTTCAGCAGACGCGAAAGCTCCTCCGCCTCTTCTTCTTCACGTCTCCTTCCGACGGGACGTGCGTCCGTCCATTTCGTGTCTAGTGCAGGCCGACGGGAGGTTATAACAATTATTTTGAGAAGGATTACGCTTCGGACGATGGCTGGAGTTCGGTGTAATCACCTGCATGATTTCTACGCTCCCCGGCGTATTCTGTGCGCAATTTCGGCCGTCAATGTGTTTCGCGAGCCCATCTAATTAACGAATTCTCTCTGCTCGCTTCCCTTGGCTCTCCGGGCGTCGACCGAGAAACCACATGATTCCGCTCGTGTTGCTCGCCGTCGTACCGGGGCAGGCGTCGTGGACGCTCTGAGCCACGTTGTACGTAAAGCCCGCTGGATAAGAGTCGGAGAATAGCTAGATACATATTCTCTTGTCCTGGCGCTGTTGCAGTGACGCGGGCTGCTTTGATTGGATTGGGCGTGTCATCGGCGCAGAGGAAGACGAGCAAACGATGAGAGCGACTTCGACCTTGCTCCGGGTTAAACGAGGGTCTCGTTCAAGGCCATGCTGCAAAACTTGCTCCGATTCCAATCGCGCTTTCAGCTCCATTTGTCGCCGCCGTTTCGGATCCAGAATGGGGTAGGGACGAGGGAATCGGGGGTACGAACTCAAGTGCTTTGGAATGTATCATAGCCCAACGTTTGCGTCCGCTCGCCAAATTACGAAACGCTGCATGATCTCTCGAAAAGCTCATTATCGATTTCCTCGGTGAGGAACGAGCGCGTTCCGCTAATCAGAACAGCGTTCTTATATCATATGGAGCCGAATTCCAGCGATTAGTTCCTTTTCGGGGAGGACACTTCTGTGTCATCGCTATCGTCTAAACGGTTTTGAGAAAATCGTCGTTTGTTTCAAAACTACGGCCCGTGGGCGAAAACGGGTCCGGCAGCGATCGCGCCGCTCCTCTGGCTTCCAACCCAGTCCGAACTCGCGAGATACGGCATTCGCCCACAGAATTTCTTCGTGAATGCAAGAGATTCGAATCTTATCCGGCCCTGGGCTACTCGAAAGAGCTCCGAGCGATCCGTCCGCGGTACAGATGGAGCTTCGATATCTTCCGAAATCGCTAATTCGTTCGAACTGAGACCGGATATCGAGCGCAAAACAAACTTCGAATCTTCCAAGCTTCCTTCCTAGAGATCTTGAGGCTTGCGTCGCTGATTTGATTCCTTACTTCTGGGCTCATTTCAAGCGTTTTCTCTGATCTCGACTCTATCTTCAATACCAGCACCGCGTTACGGCTTTCTAATCTCCCTGGTGAGCGTTCCGTGTCCCGTAGAAAGCTTTCAGAAGGGCCGAGAGGAACGTGTGTTTTCATCATCAGCACTACCGTAAGCAAGGGTCTATGTCAGTGAGCGGCGAGTGGCTGATTGCGGCGTCGGCAGCCCTTCTGCACTTCTGGTCGCCGCTCCCTTCGAGAGGAACCACGAAAAAATTCGTCTCCTCGGCTGACGCTTGATGACGTCATGGAAAAGAAAGCAGGGCAAGCGAATGTTGTTGTTGTGCCTTTCGACGTTGCTGCTAAGGGTGGTGGTAGCGCCGCCGCTGATGGTGCGCGTGGTGCGGTTGCTGGTGCTGCCACTGTTGCGGCTCATGCTCGTTCGACGCCGGCAGCGAGAACGTCCACGACGACGACAAGTTGAACGCGCGGCGTTCGTACCAGTTGTTGAGGTTGTTCACCATCGACGTAGCGATGGTTGCGTCAAGGGACGCGGCTACGCTGCAGATGTGATTGCTCGATGTGTCTATGTTGATACGAGCGCAGCACACTTTTCAACTCGATCTTCTGCGGCCGACGTCCGTCGGAAATCGAGTCGATTCATCTCAACTTTTCGAAGCGCCAGAATATGTTGCGCGCTCGCTTAAACAAACTCCATTTTCCGCCGATCGGCCAAGCGGAGCGTATCCCGATTCGACGTAGGGATCGGCAAAATAATGAAGCCGGCCCCGCTCGAGTTTCGATGCTCCGATCCTGTTCGATTAGCTAGCGATCCCCGTGCGACGCGTTTCGGCTTCGCGCATAACGGGAATAAATTGTCACTGCCTCGTAGGTACTATCCCACAGCGTGCGGTACGAAGCAATCGTTCGAGGGAATAAGCCCCTCCGGAACTCGCTAGTATGAGACGGAAGCGGAGCTCGAGGGATGGGCAGAAACAAGGCGGAAGAGAACGGTACGCGCGCGCGTTGTCCTCGTCGGGGTCGTATGGCTCCACACGGACGTTGGGAGCGAGATCCAGAGATCAGAGCAAGCTTCCGCAGGATTCGACGACCAGCGTCATGATCGGCCTATCCCATGGATCTCTCGCGGAACTTCACAGCGACGACGGCGTGGGTGGACCTCCACCGCTCAACCAGACGGGTAAAAAGAGCGAATCTCGTGCATCCGAATAAACTTTCCCGATGAAGACGTAATGGAACTCACTCATCGACAAGAGATCTGGAGGCGACTTCCCTAGGGAGCTGCCGACAGGAAATTTCCAAGACTGCGTATTCCCGAAAATAAATGCGGTTTTGGCGTAGAAGACCGCCAGAAGCTGGAATAGCGGTGACATGGTTTCGAGAGCGGCTCGGACCGGCGCAGGGCGCATTGTTTGAATCGTCTCCGATTCGATGATTACCCAAATCGGGTATCGACTGAACGAGGGGATATTCCGCGGACATCAGCCGGATCTCGGAACCGTCGTTACCACAGTTCCTCAGATCGCCTGGGTTCCCGTGCCCGGATCTCCCAAACACGCGGGGTGACCCCATTGAGCGCATGTGTTGGCGTTTCTCATGTGGAAGGCGGTGTCCTATCGGCTGTCGACTCAACACAACGTCAGTAACTCAAATCCGATGAAGACGTCGTCGCCGCTGTGTCTCCGTCCCCGTTGTCAATAATAAAATCGAGGCGGTGCTGCTAGTTTCGCTCTCCATCTATCCGCGCGATGATGATTGCAACAACAACAACAACATCGCCAAGTTCGCGCGCGCATACTCCAACGTGTAGACGACACGGTGCTACTACCGCTGGCCGAAGAGACGATTGAGCGCTATCGTCGCTAAGGTATCAGCTGTCTGTGCGGCTACTGAGCAGCACCCAGTCGTCAGCGTAGTCGCTGTCGTCGTTGTCGTTTCGCTCATCTGCCTGCTGGCGTTCATTTGCCCGCTGGTGGTTCAACGTGCTGTGGCACGTTTGTGGTGGCAAAGCAAAGGCGCTGCAGATCCGCCAAGTCGGCGGCGGCCTCCCTCCTTTCTCAATCGATCGGCCGGCTGCTGGTTGTGCCCAGAGGCAGCCACAAGAGCAGAGGAGTGCGAGCAGTGCGCGCTGGGTAGTTCATCCATCGGGCTAGCAAAGTGAGAGTAGCCGAGGTGAAGGCAGCAGCAGCAGCGGACCAAGGCAGGCGGAAGGAGCAGCAGCAGCAGCAGCAGCAGGAGACAGGTCGGTTCCAACAAGACGACGAGACGAAACCCGAACGGGGAGCCGAGAAATTAAGCGACCTGAGTGCGAAGAGTTTCGTGGCTCGTTGCTGAAAGGAGCTTGGCCTGCCGCGGTTGGCTGTGAGGCGGTTTTTGCTTGCTCGTCGTCAAACGTTTGTCTTTTCTGCTGGTTGGTGCAGTCGGTCGGTTGGGTTCTACGCTCGCTCAGCAAGCAGAGCAGCAACAACAACAGCAGAAGCACCAGAAGAACAAGTGGACTGACTGCTGAGCACACTCTAGCTATGGCCAGCAAGGACAACGAAAGCGGAGGACTTCTCCGATTCCTCTACAACCCGGATACTGGTGAAGTGTTCGGCAGAACCGGAACGTCGTGGTGTAAGTACAGTTCTCCGTACATACTAGAATACGGCGGGAGCTCCCGCGCTAGGACTATCTCATTTTCGCCGCTCCTAAGCGTTTCTCGCAATTATCCCCGCGCTCGTTCGAGCCGTGGCGAGTCGACGGCTCATCGAGTATGTTCGGTCGCTTCCGAAACCCGAACGGAACGCGCGTACCGAATGTTTTGCCTGGCGGGCGGTCGTGTCGGGGCGCTCCCTGTAGTCCACGGTCACTTTAAGGGCATTTTGTCACTTTGGAGTCTGGAGCCCAGCCCGTCTGTTCCGATGACCTCAATGACCTTTGTGCAAATGTCGGCAAGCTTTAGCAGCGGGAATTTCTCTTGAATTCCGCGGGAAAAGCCCGATATCTGCACTCGACCCCTCGGTCAGCATGGGGAGGGGGATCGCTGCTATAGTAACATTGAGGTCACCCGCATTGAAAGTCGCCGGAACTTGCGCCTGATCGAGCCCCAGTTGCTTCAATATACGCTGCATCGTGACGTTTGACTTTCGGGATGAATGCGTGGATTGGCATCACGAACATTTCGAGTTTTTTTCGAGCGATCGCTCGAGCGGTCCCCACCGTGTGTGTGACCGTTACAAGCTCCAGAGGCTTCCGCTAGCGTTTTGATGCTGAGACCTCCATTTCTCAGCGGTCATCGACGCGTGGAGGAAGAATCGCCGACTAAGCGAGATCCTGCCGGAGGAACGGGGAAAAGGATTCCGCGCGGCGCTCCGTAGAGGCAATACAAACGGTGGATTTATTGATTGAATATCACTTGTCCGTGGCTGTGAGTGCGCGCATAAATCAGTATGTAGGCTGAGTTTTCTGCTCATGATCCAGCGTTGGGCTCGAACTCGTTGCATGCAATGCATTGACAAGGAAAACCCGGCAAGGTCGATGGGGTGGCAAGCACTCTCGAAGTGCTGCCCATGTCAGCGGAGACGCGGTCCGAACCCGGGAAGTTGACAACCGATTCGGGGACCTAGTCTGGCATAGAAAAGATATTGTCGAGAGCGGGGACGCAGGTCCGGAGAAAATGCAAACGGAAGAAATTATGGAAGTGCAAGCTGCGGATAGACTCCGCGTGTCTCGTTTGCGAAGATCGCATGGTCTGCCCCCGCCTTCGATATGGACACTCGGATCCCGAAACACGCTTGACGCTCGTCGACGAGGGAATGAATCGTGTGGACCCCACGGTTGCCAAGGCTACGAAAACCTTCACGTTCCTAACTACGACGCCAACGACAACAAAAACAATCGCGCTGTCAAATCGCTGAGCGGTTTTAATTGCGTTTCCGGTCCGAGAAAGTTCCCGCATTCGAGGTACTGCGGAGAGATCCCGATCCGATCCCGTGATCTGATGACCAGAAGCGACCAGTGATATTTTAATTAGTGAGGTCAACATCAAGGTGGCTCAATGAGGTGCTGAACGCGCTTATTGCGGCGCTGTCTTATTCATACCAGGGAACGAGGAATGTCTAAATCACGAGTCCCGCTCATCGCCCCCGAAGAATACCAGTGCTGTCATTCCCATGCCCGGAGGGGTCACGTTTACCGGAGTCGTCACTAACTTCTGAGTCGAGTCTCGCGCGAGCTCCGAGAAAACTCGTAAATTTTGTCTGAGTTCGGAACTTTTTTCGCGAGCAAGGCAGCTTTGCTTTTCATACGAGCACCGAATAATCCAATTCTCGGAGCTTCTCGCATCGGAAGAAAAACAGGGGAGAAGCCCCTTCGCGAAGATCGCGACGGAAGGTTACCGTAGGGACATCTGGGTTCCCTTGGATCGATTCACTTGTGCACTCCGCCTTTATCGGAGGCTGTCAACAATTACGCCAAGCGCTCGGACCTCCTGTGGTCCCATACGGCAATCACATGTCTTCCTCGATCCACTACTCCAGATCCGATACCACACGTTTGTCTGTGATAGCCTATTTTGAAGATGAAGAGGCCGCGGCTCCAGCGAGAATGAAGGCGATTTTCACGCCGGCCCGACAGGTCGGGTAGTTCCGTGGAGAGGTTCCGCTTCGCAAGCTTCGTCTGACCGATAATAATCGAACAAGGTTCATGTAGTTGGATCAGACCGGAGGATCACCTGCAGCACCCGGCTCGCAAGATATTTGCGCTCTCGTTTCCAATCGTCATTGTACCGAACTTCATGTTGCCAACGGTTCCGCCGACGGTCACATCGGAGTTCTGATCCCCCCTCTGCGAGCCGTGATAAATTACTTCTCAGAGAACTAGACCCGAGTCCGATCCGGACCCATAGTCTGTCAGGACAGAAAATCGGAACCGCGACACGAAAATGATACGGTCGAGGGCCGGAGAGGAAGGAGTTAGAGGACGAGATGCCTGCGAGCCGCTGGCTCGTGCAAAAGGATTCTGTTGAACTCTTATAGGGCTTTGATGATTGCCTTGTACGGGAGACTAAGCATCTGATTGCATGCCCTCGCAAATTCTTTTCTCGATTTTCTGACCCGATGGATCTTCCGAATTGAAGCCCTCTAAGTTCGTCCGAGCGTAATTTCCGCGTTCTGGGCTCCACCAAAAAGAGAGCCTTTTCATGTACGAAGCCAGGGAGCGAAATAACCGCGAAGGATCAAGACCGAGCTCAACGAAATTCTCATGGGTTGAAATCCCGTACGGTTCGGGAGGATGAGCACGACAAGGACCCTTCGCGGGAAAACCCATAGCGGCGTTCATGCGGCGAAGTTCTCAGAAGGGAGCTAGAAAATTGGAGCTTGGGCAGTCGGAGGAACGTCGTGGGCGCAAAGCTCGAGACGCGTGGAACCTGAATCACGTTGACGGCTATCAAATTGACCCGAGGAGCACGGAGTGCTTTGGAATCATTCGACATTACAACCGTGGACGTTCTTTTCCCTCAAGCTCCTGTTCTTTCCCATCTGGTCGGAAACGTGCGATCCAGTCATAGATCGCCAACGCTCGATGTTTGGCATTACTCGTGATATCGGACTGGAATCACGCGGTCTATCGAGTGAAACAAAAACATTTCAGAAAAAAAATTGAATCCGGGAAAACAAACATTCAAGATTTCATTATGCCTTGACGAGACTACCGACTTTCTGATCGATTCGTGGTAATGAATCGGTTGGCCTCCGCTGATGTGTATTACGGTATCTCCGAATTGAATCGCCTCGGTCGAGGTCGCCGATGTGTTCGTCGGTCAGTTTTTCGTTGCTCGCTCCGGTCATTCGTCGTTGACGGTGAACCTAGGAATGTCTCGTGCGCTGGCGATAAGCTATCGCTGTCACTGCGACTGCTGCCGGTTCCATGCTCGCCGTCCTCCACGGATATCATCAACTCGATCCATCGAAACGAGTGAGCCGGCAGGCACCGAATGATGACGGTTAACATTTCGGCGTGTCATACTTGACAGTAAGATGTTGGGTCAGCTCAACGTCGGTCGTCGTCAACACCGGCATCCTGAATCTCGATGGGATTTTTTTCCTCACCCCGGCTCGGTGTGGCTCTCCTCTCTCCAGAAAGGGATTCGAAGCAGCCGTCAGTTTCGTTGGTTATTATGCAGATTGTATAATCTGTTTAATGAAAGTCCAAGACAACATAATTTATCCATCTGTCACCTCGGCGAATATATTCTGAACGCGTCTCACAGAAGCAGCTAAGAAGCTACTTTGCGAATACGAGAAGAGAACTCGAAAGAGTTTGGTGACTAGCCGTCCAGGGCTTTCCACCTCATGTCAGATCTCTACGTCAGCATACTTTTCGAGGCACTGAACACGGGAGGAGAAAAAAGCATTTCATCGCTCCCGCCGTCCTTGAAACTCTCATCAGGAGGTGGTGGAGGTGCCGCAGCTCCGTCGTCTGATTCACCGGGATCTATTTGAGGAGAGTCGCGAAATTCCCGAGCGGAAGGAAAATAAGATTCTGGTCTCGTATGCAGCTTCCCGTAGCTCGGGACGCTTCCTACATACAGCCGGATGATTTCTTTTGACTCTCAGACTAAGAAAATCTGAAGATGAACGCCTTGGAATGCGAGATGGCGGCTCGGCCGAAAGGTTGATTGCCGAGCCGACGACTGCAAGTGACCGAAGCACCGAGAGCCGACTTGGCGCTCTCGACGCGAGCATTGCCAACCTTTTCTGATGCAGGACGCCGCCGGCCGAGTCGCTTGCTTGTTTGGGTGTATAGTTGCTTGACTAGCGCGGCGGCGGCGATCTCAGTGGTGGTGGTGTCGGCTGCCTGCCTGCAAGCCTGCCCGCCCGCTAGCCCGCTCGGTCGCTCCGTTGGTCGTTGGGTATCGTCGGTAGCCACTATTGGTAGCCTGCTCGATTGGTCCAATCAAGACCAAGCCATCGAGCTCTTCCTGTCTTTGGCTTACAGTATGACGACTGGCTCCGACGTCAGTCAAACGTTGTTCGCCTTGATGTCTCCAATCTTTCAATCCGTTCATCGAGGAAGGTGGCAACCGTGGAACCTCGCATACAGTAGCTCACCGGCCGGCCGCCCTGCAGACGGGCGGGCTGGACATTCGCTCGCGCAGTCACTTACTCAGCCACTCACTCGGACGGTCCCCGAAACACCTTGCTGCTCCGAGTCCGTCGCTGGGCCGACAAACGCGAGCGAATCAGCCAGAACAAAGTGTTTCGTTCACATAAGAAGAATATTAATATCAATGGCAACGATCGACGATGTTCTCGACATAATGAGCGCCAGCGACGGTGGCATATCGTTGCTGCTCCCGCTACGATTTCGTCGGGGCGGAAGCTCGCGATGACTCCATATCCAATAAGTTTTCCATGCTTCATTCAGCGACGAATGTCTCTATGCACTGTCGGTAGATATCCGTCGACGGCATCCGGAGCTTGCTCAGCTGTCGGACAGTAGGCTCTTCGTGCCGAGAACGAGTCCAATGGAGTGCGCGATCAATTCTTCGACGGCTACAGTCGACTAGCCTGTCCGATCGTCCGTCCGTTCGTCGCAGTTTAGATACCGCTCCGATTCGGACCTTGAGCCCCGATCGCGGAATGCATATATTCTCTCGCAGGCTGGAAGTGAAAAGGGGAAGATGAAGGGTTTTAATTCTATTTTTGTCATGAGCGCATACCAACGCAAACCGGTGACCGAGCATGGTCCGGATGGAACTTGGAATCAAAGTCCGTAACGGAATGGAATAATCGTGTTCGGGGCTCTTTGCTGTGGCGGCCGATCAAGCGGGCCGGAGCACAAGGATATACTCGACGGTGATTGCGCGCGGTCATGCATCTTCCGATCGTGAGAGGCTGACCGGTCTCCCCAGTCCTCCTTTCGGTGCGCGCTTTCAGGAGGCGTTAGCGGTCTTCCGTCGAGGTATTGTCACTCGCTCGAAGTAAGTATCTCACCCATTCTGAACAACATAGCCAGTGAGTGAGTGAGCGATGAAGTGAGTAACCAAACAAACTCTCGACTGCTCGTACGGGCTGGTTATATGTACAGGCTCACTTGAGTCCTACAGATCGCCCTATCACAAACGCCGCCGCCAGCGTCGCGACCAATGCTTGCCGAGGTGTGATGACGGCAAGGAAAACAAACGCCCTCGCGCTCTCCTCAGACTCCGAGACCTTTGTGAGAACCCGCGTCAGACAGGAGAAAAACTCAATAAGGTCATCGAGATTTCACGAAAGTTTCGGAATCTGCTCGCGATTCCAAATGTCACGAGCTCCCGATCCTGAGAGCCTAGAATAGCGGTTCGATGACTCGAGCGGATTTTGAGTACATGTTTGTTCCTCTGACATTCCCTCTTGAGATTAGATGCCGCATCGTGGCTCGCTTCAGATATCCCCGGCTCGTGTGGCCGATGAACGGTCACACGCTCGGCGCTTCTCCTTGCCCAGAAGCTTGAAGTGCTCCAGCTTACTCGTGGCGGTCGTAGCTCTCAAGATGTATCGTGTTGACTTTTGCGCGCCGGCTACAATGTTTATATCCAACGGCACCGACAGCGGTGCCGTAGTTTGAATCCCGAGCGTTTGTGTTCTTGTTGTTGCTGCTGTTGATGCCACCGCGTCAAGCCAGTATTTTCCGAGAGCTCTCTGGCTGCAACAAGCCTCCGAATGCCGAGAACTTTGTGTGTTCAGGCCGCAGTCCGATGACGGTGCTCGGTTGGCTCATTCGTTTCGCGTACCTTTTACCGGAGACCACGAACTGCCTGTCTGCCGAGCGAACGAGCCGGCTGCCGGCAGGCATAGAGAGTGAAAGAGTGTGCGAGAGAGAGACAGATAGAGAGTGAGATATAGAAAGCTCATCGCGTGGCCTTCCAATGGCCGGCCCGGACACCGAGCTAGGCCGCGAGCTGAAAGTCGAGTAGTGGCCTACCGCCGCCGCACAGCAGCCAGCTAGAAGTAGCCACCCGGCTATTTGGAACGGCGTCACCGTCGTCGTCGATTGAGCCGAACTTTAGGCTTAGCTCTCTGCGAGCGGCGGCTTCCAATGCTTATGGAGGTAATAATAAAAATAGCTGTCGGGTGTCTATGATGCAACTGGCGTCCACTCGCAAAGCGACTAGGTGGCTGGCACACCGTCTGGCCAGCGAGCCGGCTGGCCGGCTGGAGGTTGATCGTCGTCGCTGCCATGCTTGAGAGTTTCGGTCAGGTCTCTCTGAGCCGATTTGCTCCTCTTCCTCTCGTTTTGATTCGAATCGACGTCGTTACTGTCGTCATCTAAGCTGGTGCGCGCTCAAATACGAGGCGATGAAGGAGTCGATACAAGTCTACAATCTGGAAGTCGGGCCGGAAATTCGAGGTGGAGCGGCCGCACCTGGGGAGGCAGACCCACGCACACAGCTCGCGAAGAATTCTGAGGGGATTTGCGCGCTCTGCGGCGGGAGGCTCGATACGGCGTGTAATGCCGATAATGACGTCGAGAATATTTCGGAAAACGGGGGCGTGCATGATTTGGCTTCCCGCAAAGGTTGATGATGTGCTGCGAGCAGGGGCGCGCCGGCCGTGCGAATGACTGGAGGCTCCGTAGCCTAGCCTGCCATAGCGGCGGCCACGGAGGTAAGCGGCCTACTGTCGAATGTACGACGCTGGCTGTGGCGACTCGGAGTCCATATCTGTGTGTATGTGGTTGGTGTGTCGTGGTGAGGGGTAAAAATGCTATGACAACCGAAACGGGCAGGGAGGCTCTCGGTCGATGAATGTATTTTCGAATGAGCCGACCACAGTCAACGTTCAGCGTCATCAGAGGAACTATGAGCGCTGCTATTACGGGCGCGAGGGCAGAGTCTTGAGCGAGAGTCAGACTCGCGCACCATCGGACTTGTTCGCATGGCGCATACGTATCTCGGCGTGACACAGCTAGTGCTTCATACAATATATTATTCGCCTTTTATCAGAACTCTATTTTGAGCGGGTCGTGAAGGTTGACGGCTGAACGCATGCGCAGAACTCGGCGATCTTGATCGAGCGCGAAGCACACGACTATAGCATCAATCCGTCGGGTCCGAATTTTCCGTTCGCTTCCGGAACTTTTCTTGTCCGAAAGCGTCTGAGAAGTCGGAGTCCAGGGATCTGTGTGTCATCGTGGCTTCGACGGTGACCGGATAAGATGCCAGAAGACGAGCGCTTGCTCTCCTCGAATGACGGTCAGCCAGTCAGTTGGGGATCGAGAGACAATGATGCGAATCAGCCCGGTCTTCTTCAGGTCAGGATTGACCTTGTGGCGGGCGCGCGCCACTATCGAGGAGATGAATATGTTGGACGCAAAACTAATTAACGGCGGAATCCATATCGGTCACGTGATTCCGTGAGGACGGGCCACACCCTGCAGGGCATTCATTGTCCAGGGGCCATCGAACGTCGACGACCGACTCGGACTGTCTGGCTCCATCGATATACTTAGAATTTATTTGTTTGCGCCTCGACGGACCCTTCGTACATTTTGACGAGAATCCTGAACTCGCTTGGCCGTTCTGCGAGGATGATCCGGAGTGCGTCTCATCGTCTCTGAGAGCAATGTGTACCGTCTTGAATCCGGAGGCATACTCTCCTTTGTCAGCATTGAACTCTGAACTGCAAAATATCGAATCTCAAATTAGAGGAGCCACTTCTGATCCAAGACCGAATCCAACGGGCCCTGCGAGGCAGGAGCTTCTAATAAGCCCGGGTTACTCTCTCATGTTTCGAGAACGTATCGGATGCAGGAGTAGAGATATCGATGAGGAAAACAATCGACGATTCTTGATGCTGATCGTTCATCCCGGAAAACTCGACCGCGTGATTATCTATCCCCTTTATGTTGTTCCTCGTTCTCGCGTCGTAATATCGGCATCGCTGTCGATCGAAAGAATTCGAAGGCGTCCGTTGTCGAATGCCGTGGACTTCTTCTGGAGCCGATTCTGGATTCTGCCGAGTTCAACTCGACACGGTGAATCCAATGAGCACTTAATAGAGCCTCGCTAATGGCACTCAGAACGGGTTATCCCGGCAGAGACATATCGAGTGAAATAACAGATAGACGATGTTCGTCAATCGTGTCCGCTGCAAGTACTCAACTATAATGGCCTGGAATACCCGGATCTGGTGCCTATGCTTGAATCATGTGACGAGTCGTTTGCGCCATCGGAAGGGCTCAACAGAATCTGTCGATAAAGCAGACGGACCAACAGAATAAATTGTACGGGAGTGTACGGCCATCGAATAACTCGATCTTTTCTCTCTATTTCCAGTTAAGATCACGGTTTTCTATATTGTTTTCTTCGCGTGTCTGGCAGCTTTTTGGACCGTGTTGTTGGTCATATTCTACCAGACACTCGACGCTTTTCAACCCAAATGGACCCTGGATGCTAGTCTCATCGGCTCGGTACCGGGATTAGGATTCAGGCCACGTCCTCCGATGTCCAACATTGACTCGACGCTCATCTACTTCAAGGTATGTCGGGGCATCTGTGGTCATCAACAGTTTTTTTTTACGCTCTATCCATCCAGGACAGGGAGTGCTCTACAAGTGCTCAACGGGTCAGCTTCCGCTCCCCCCCTCGATTCGGGCACCTAATGCCGGGGAACTTCATCCTCTATGAGGTCACGATAAAATAAATCGGATAAATCGAGCAGGGCTATGGATTGCAGTCGGGACAAGAGGTTTTGTGAACCTTTGGATCCCTGTGCTCGCCTCCTATTATTATTCTACTTTCCCATCTGACATCCATACTGCGTGTGGAAGTGGAAGTGTATTCAGTAGAAGAGTGTCTACGAATTCGGCCCGCATAGAGAGAAAGGGTCACGAGTTAAAATAGCTGCGACCGTCAGAGGCCAGGATAGCAGCAGCGACGGACCGTAGGATGAGAAGAGGTAGGCAAGTCGACCCACTTGCTTCAAGGCTGGATATCGAACCTCTCGAAAATCGTACCCGCACTGTGTCCTTCCAAAGGGTCGTGACGCATTTGTTCGGTCCGTGACGATCTATCGAGACTGAGTTCAACTGCCCGTAGCCAAAACGGATCCTTCTGCAGCCTGCGCTGCCGCTCTGACGGTCGCTGCCAGCCACAGCTATCCCTACTCCTGAGCGAGTATAGCTGCTCGGAAGCCAAGTCAGGCCAATAATCGCTGGCTCCATACGCTGAGATGTATCTACATGATTCCCCGGTGCAGACTAGCCGAGAGCCTGTCCGTAGCTGTAGAACCATTCACAACTCGTCACACGCAAACATCGTATCAACCGTCCCGAGACCTTGGAGGGGGAAAGAACTTGTTTAGCAATAGAAGGAAACTCCAACCCGATTCGCTTGTGCCCGGGCCGCCACGGGCGACAGGAGCGATGGGAACGTCTGCCGCATCTCGCGTTTTGTTTAAATCAAGTACTAGGCATACGCGTAGCATGGAGTCGATTAGATCCGGGGCGTCGCTAACGAATTTCTTCTATCCGCAGGCCAGCGGAGCGAGTTCTGAATCCTACAAAGTTTGGGTTGACGATCTTCAGAAATTTATCGCGAGTTATCGTGAAGTCGGACGCAACGGCGAAAACTTAGTTACCTGCTCCTCAGGAATGCCCGCACCTCCGGGCAAAACTTGCATATATAATATCGACCTCTTGTACAAGACTAACTCCAACTGCTCTAGCCAGGAAGAGTTCGGGTAATTATCTAGGAGCCTTCCTTCTCTTTAACGAGCTGTATCGGTGAATGGCGAGCGCAGACGTGCTTGTTGCTCAGAGGACGATGACCGACCATGTGGGACTCTTTTCCAGATACAAGTATGGCACCCCCTGTGTGGCTCTAAAAATCAACAAAATCTACGGATGGAAACCGACCCCCTACCAGAACAACAACTTCCCTCCAAACTTCCCCGATAATCTGAAAAGCAATTACGATGGCAACCGCGTCTACCTCTCTTGCGAGGGTGAGGTGAGTGTCTTCCTACCCATCCATCATAGGACTCCTTCTCGTCCGCGAGAATGTGCTCATAGGGATTCGCCGAAGGAACGTCGGATCTCGCCTTCGAGTGACTGAACGGAGTTAGTGGCTCGCCTACATGTGCGCCTCTCGGCCTCCGGATCGGTCTACTGACCAACCGACCGATCGAGAGAATGGCCGCTTGCTGGCTGGTAAGCTTGCCAGTCAAGCGGCAAGGGTACATGACGATCACAGATTCTATCGAGTTTCCGTTCAGCCGTTGTGAGTTGATGGAATTTCTGCTTGCTTCCCCTTTCTTCGGCAGGAACGGATGGCAAAGCTTTCCATTCATCCTGCGGTCGGCCGCAAGACGTTTTTCTTGTCTCGCTGTAATGTACGCGGCGGTGGAGTAGTCGACGTCCGTCGTCGTCGTCGACATCGTCTTTGATCCTCAGCTATTATCTGGCCGACCGGAGCGAACTGCTCCGTCGTTCTGCCAAAACTCAGTGAACTGTAGATCCTCCAAGCTATTCCTACCCAAACCTCTAGCCATGCGAGAACTTGCAAACTTGCAATGCATGAATCGTTGTGTGAGCGTTACCTCCTGGCGGTTCCGGAGATGCTCCTGCGAGAGATGTAGCTGCGATATCCACTGTTGGCCTGAGAGTTCTTCCTTGGAGAATCCAGAAATTCGATTTTTCTCCGTTGGATTTCCTCTCTCCAGAATAGAAGACCGATCGGAAAATTATGATAAAATCTCTCAAGGCTCCCTCCCTCTCGCGGGATTCGCTCCAGACGGTTCTGTTTTCGGATTAAAAGATGGAAACATAGGAAAATTATCATTTTCAACCGAGGAAACAACCTCATCAGCAAGGTTGCGGTGTATGTGTTGGAGTGTCCAGCTTTCGACTCCAGCCTTTCGACAATACTTCGACTGTACAAGTCAGATCGTCTGATGAGACTCTCGTTTGTTATGTTTCCGTCCCGTCGCCTTGGATATGAACGAGGCTTCCCCTCGCGCGTCCCGTCTCCCGACACCACCTCTCTTGTGTCGTGGTTCTGTGACGTTTTCTGGTCCTCTGCTGTCGCTGCTTCGGCTCGCCGGTGGTGGTCGACGATCGGGTACTGCTGCTGGCTCGAGTTTTCGTTGACTCGCTGCGGCAGCCCAGTCTTCTGTAGATGAACAGGAAAGCATTTCGGCTGCGGTGGTGGTGGCGGTCAATGTCCGTTCTCTCTCCGCTTCACATGGTTTCTCTCCTTTCCTCCTTTTCCTTGTCCTCGTGGCTCGCTGTAGACTGACACTCGTAGCGAAACCTGCTTCGGTTCTCTCTTCTGGACGACGAGATCCGGAGGCCGAACCTTCGTCTTCAGCTGAGCCCAGCGAATGTATCTTTCTGTAGAGAATCCACCGTCGAACCACCGATGACGGTGCGTCCGACTCTCTCCCCGTCAACACATGACTCGAGCGTCGCTCACAGGTTTTGGCAGCGTACTTTCGCCCCGCAGGTGGTGTCAGTAAACTTTTTCGCTCAAGAAAAATACAGTCCCATCGATCGAGCGTCGTTCGGAGCGCCACCTAAGGTAGGGCGGACTGAGCGCGGTTCTCCGAAGAGGGCCTGTGAGGACTTGCCAAGAATCTGTGGGATCGCTTGTCTACCCCTCCTGAGAATGAATACGATATGCTCCGGAAACGGAGATCCCACAGCTGGCGCCAAGAAATCTTGCGAATTCGTGACATTGGCCTCCTCTTGCTGATAACGCTTCGTGGAAGTTTGCCTGATGCCTCCAAACTGAGGAAACTTTCTCTATGAAATGGGAAGCGGTCAGTCGGTGACCTTCTGTGACTCAAAAATTGACGATCGTCCCATGCGTTCGATAAATATCGACGGAGGCGCGGCTTTGGCGCTCCACGAAGGGCTCCAAGCGATACAAAGCTGCCTTGTGAGATACTCTCGGGTGCTTGAAGAGACAGCTCGTGCATCTGAAGTTCCGCGAAGTTTGACCCCTGGAGTCGAGATTCTCGATGAAGCTCCGGCCGAATTCTCCCTTGGAGAGCGAGAATTCGACGCAAACGGCAGAACTAGTTCCATCGATGCCCTGGAAGCTCCCGTCGACTGAAGGAGCTCACATCCGATCTGCTTCCCTTCTGGTGTCTGCACGTGATGAAAGTACGAGCGTGTGTTTGACAGAGTCGTCGATGAATGAGCGTGGTGCGTGAATGAGTCCAGCTGATGCCGTTCCAGCTGCGGGCTTTACGCTTCTTTGTCTCAGATTTTTATCTTGCTTGCACCGGCCACTCAGCCGCTACCGGCGGCGCGGCGCTGCAACAAATACTGCGGTAGCCGTTTGCTGAACCTCTCGAGCAGTCAACAACACTTTACGATATGAGCGACATCCGCCTTTTGTTTGACAAAAGTGTGTGTGTCGTTCTGGATCAACTAGAGCTGGAAAAGACACGATCTTTGGGATATCTGTGATGATTGCGACGTCGGCGTCGATGGCGGCGACATCAACGAGTGCTTTGAAGTTGGCGACTTGTTGGATTTGTAGAACCAGACGACCGGGAAAACGGACTTGGCGCGCAACTCTTGTCAACTCGGCGGCCCATGAGCTCCTCCGTGGTCTCACCGCAAAGTGGGGGAGCGAATGTACGGCCGGGGATTTTGAAACATTGCCTGATAAGCTATAAATGAATGCATTTTCCCTCAATACCGGTTCTCAAGCCGGTATGACTTTTTCCCACGAAAAGTGTTTCGTCCCATTCCACGACGCTGTCTCGATCCCGGCAGAAGTCGGGCTGTCCCAGAGCGGCCTGTCGTCGAGTCGGTGCTAGTACGGCAGCTGGCACCGTGTAGCTCATATCGAGTTATCCATTACAGCATTGTCGAGCCACTCGGCAGAAATCAATTCTCGGTCTCTGAACAGGGATTGCTAGACATTAACGAATTGAATTTTCTCGATTATTGCAGAACGCTGCTGACCAAGAAAACATGGGACCTGTCCAGTTCCATCCGAATCCATACGTGGACGACTTCTACTTCCCATTCACGAACGTGCCTGGCCACATGCAGCCATTCGTGTTCGCCCAGTTCCTCAGACCGGAACGAGGCGTCCTTATCAATATCGAGTGTAAGGCATGGGCTGCCAACATTTTCCACGACCGACAAGAGAGGATCGGCTCCGTGCACTTCGAGTTGATGATCGACTAGACGCCCCCAGCTCTGTGGCGGGCAGACGGGAGGTAGGACAGGACAAGGCGGAAGACGACGCAAGCAGCAGCAACAACAACAAAAATAAGGGGCAACATCACCACCACCACCAGCTAGATCAGCCTGCACCTCGGCCGCCCTGCCTCCGAGCCTCGCCTCAACGGACGGACGTACTGAAAAATGCGGGCCGCCATTTTAGCTACAACAACATCAACAACAACAACAACAACAACAACAACAACATCATCATCAACTACAACAACAACAGTAACTACAACAAGTAGCAGCAGCAGCAGCAACTAATATACAGCAACTACAACAAGACCTACAACCCCAATTTACTACATCGTCAACCGCAGCAACAACATCTTCGCCAACCTCCACCAACTCAACAGCAGCGATCCCATAACACCATTCGTCGATTCACTCTGCTCCGGCTAAACCCCCTCATCGGAGGCGCTGTCTCTCTCAATGCCATCTTCATCGGAAGCTCGCTCACTCACTCAGTCTCGTCGTATATGTATCAAACTACTCACAACCTGTTCCCGTCTCTCGAGTTTCGACTATACTTCTCAATCGACGGGACACATTCAGGAAAGTGGGTTCCTCAAGTCGGATGCATAACGATGGATCTATCACGGGTCGAATATTCGAACGAACAACGAGATCCAAACTCACCAGGATACACCGTCACGTCAGCGTTGGCAAGAGCACCAGATATCGTTTTCCACTCGGTTCAACGGGGGGGTTGAGCCGCTCCCCGCGGAGATGCCGAGTCACCACTGCCTAGTTACGCCACAACAGCGCGAGCGCTTTGGTCAGACTGCCGACCGGCGCTAGACACACTCCAGAGGCTGTAGCGGCTTCACTAAGCGAGAGAGATGAGCAACGAGAGACCTCAGGCCTGACGCCACGGGGAACTAGCCAACCTGCCGGGTGTAGAGTCGCTTACAGGATTGATTGGTGGTAGGTTTGTCGATCGGTCGGTTGGTTGATCATTGGTTAGTTTTCCAAGTCCATCCATCTAATTTCGCTTCTCTCATCCACTCATCCATTTATCCGTTCATTCGTTCGTTCAAACACCAAAGCCTTAATTCATCCAATCCTTCTCTCAGTCATTCGCTCACTCGCGCGTCAACTGTCCTCGTGTCCAACCTTATGCTCGATTATGAGTCATGAGTACCCCCATGTGTCCCAGTGCTCATTCATTCCTTCTCTGTTCGATGGTTCACCTCTCCCGCCCCCATCCTGGAGTTTGCTGCGGGGAAATTGCGCGAATGCGACACTACTTCAAACTCCCAAAGTGGATGCTTTTGACAAAAACAACAAGAATAACTCGATTCGTTGGGCGGTCGCAAGGTGTGTGAGTGATGGTCGAGTGGTTGAGTGACTGTCTGATCGATTCACTGATGGATGGATGAATCGTTTGAATGAGCGTGTGATCGCTTGAGTGGATGAATGGTTGAAGAGCTGAATGACTGAACGAGTGAGTGAGTGTGCTAGTGATTTACTGAGTGACTGTCTAGTTGATCGATCATCGGATTGATTGGTTGTTTAAAGATTGATGGATTGATTGATCGACTGTTGGAGCGTCTGATTACCCGTTTGTTCGCTGATTGGATTGGACTTCTTGGGAGTAACACTCGGATGCTAGGAGCCGGAATGACAGCGTCTGAGCACGCAGAAGATCACAGAAAGGATGATGATCGCTGGATGAAGAGTCGTGAGAGTGGATTTGAGTTTGAGAAGACGCAGAAGTTAGAGCCGCCCTCAGCGGGATCGTGCGTCCGGTACTGCTACCACAACTACTTCTGCAACCGTTGAAGTGACGTCTATAGATAAGAATATTATTCGATTATTATAATCATTATTATAATTCAATATTATAATCATCGAGCTTATTATTATTTTTATTAAAATTATTATTATAATTATCAAAATTATTATCATTTTTATGAAAATTATTATTATTATAATAATTATTATTATTATCCAGTGGTTGAAATGAACGGGTTCATTGGTGGGTGGTTGACTGACGAGAAGTACCGTTGCGGAGAGCGCTTCTGATCTAATCATTCTTTTATCATCATCAATATTATCATAATAATCACTGTCAGGTGATCATTATGATTCTGGAAACTTGTCAGGGAGATGCGCATGAGCCGGAGCTGCGTTCATCTACCCGGAAGAAATGATTGACGTTTGGCGTAGATACCGACAAAAAAATAAAACAGCGCTCACACCGAGAACACGAGCGATCATTCAGTCGATACCACTGTTTGTTTGAGACGTTCGACGACAACTGAATGCGTCGATGATCGAGAGGAGTGTGTCGTTCTACAGCGTTGAGAGTTTCTCGGTTTCGGGTGTTCATGAGTCAGAACAGAGTACGAAATGAACGTTACCATCGATGTTCGAGACATTCTCGACTCAGATATTTTCTTGTTGTTGATCGCACGCTCATGGGTACACCCTCATTCCGGCGTGAGTGCATCGCCTCGGGGTCGATCTATATCTCTTATGCGATCTGACATCAGATCAAGCACCGCGCGGGATCTGGAACATCGTTTCCGCGTGGTGGACCCGTTCGACCCCCATTGATTTCCGGCTGCAACTCCAAGTAGACCGAGTGGTCCTCCGTTGCAGAGCTCATTGAAATTTGGCAAGGGATCTTCTTGGTTCAATGCCAAAAATAAAGCCGACCGAGGACGGTGGCAAGGACGATCTGAGGGTGGTATCGCTCTTTCCCGAAATGCACACAAGCACAGATTACCAACATGAGAATTTCCATCCGAATCGATGTCAGTGGAGTTTTGATCACAACGAGACTTTCAAAGTCGAGTGCATCGAAAAAGTATATCAACACCACAGCGGATGAGATCGTATTCGTTTATTACTGTACGAGAACCGTCGATTCTGTCATTTGACATTATTAAGGACGTAATTATTATTGTCATTGGATCACCTTATTGCTATGATTCTTACGATGATGTTATGGCCGATTATAATTATGATTATTATTCTTATTGTCATCGCTCATTGATTCGAGACATCGACGAGGACACCAACTTCTGCCGTCTTGACTGCCGGGGGCTACATCTCTGTCTCTCTCTGTCCCCTTGGGCTGTTTGAAGGCTTGTCAGGAATTTTTGCTATTCCGAATAATGACAACTCGGTTTTCGAGGAATTGCGTGAGTTGCATCAATGAAAATGAAAACCTACAAAATCAAGTCCAAAACAAAAGTAAGAAATCAAAGAAATTGCAGCAAGTCCTCCAGTTGAAGTCATACCGAAAATATTCACAAGTCTACAAAGAATACAAACGTTTTCCAAACCTACAAACACACAGCGAAGAGAAATATAGTAGTGACCACTTGGGAAGAGACAAGAAGTGCGAAAGTAAAGAGACAAAGAACGAGAGATTGTTCTGCTATATCTATAAGAGCATACAGAAATTTCACAATTACGTAAACTTCAAATTGATATTAACAAAGAAAAGATGTCGATGATTGCTATAACGGGAGCGACAAAAATTATTTCGGGGATGATGATGATAAAGTTAAAAATAATCATCTACTCAGTATAGCGTTGTCACGACCTTAAAATGTGTATGTCGTAGCTGGCTCCAACAAAAGATGTTTTGAGTTTGAGAAATATTATTATTATTATTATTATCATATTATTATATTAATTTAAGAAACATAGAGAAACCCGGTGAGGAGAGACTGAAAACGAATTCCCATTCAGGACAGTCGACAACTAGTTTTGAACGACGAACAGTAAAGATCGAAATAAAATTAGCTTACAATTCAGTCTCAAGATTATTCGTATCGATTGCGCTTCACGGGCATAGGTTTCATTCTGCTCGATCAGTAGTCTAGCTGCAACGTCCCTTTTTGCCACATGAGTTGTGTATTGTGTATCGAGCATGGTATGCTGACAGTCCTCGAAATGGTTTCTGTCGCCCCAGAGTCTCTATCTCGTTTTCCCGCCAGAGTCGATTCGGGGTTCTGTGGCGGGGGTCTCGTTCACTTCAGATAGAAGCAATAAGACGTGAATATAAATGTGAGCAATGATGGTTGGACATTAGACTGGCGGGTGCTTTGCCGAGGCTCCTGACTTAGAGATAAGCAGATCGTTGGGAATACTAATCAGAATGATCCTATGGAGAGCCTGAGAGTTTATTCCCCCTCCGTCAATCATGCCTCACGCCCTCACCTCTCGTCGAATTCATCACTCGGATTGCCATTTCCTGAAATCATTAACCCAGCTAGCATAGTTCTCATTCTTCAGTGCCCCAACCATCCATCGATCGGAGACCGCAGAGATCTCTGCTCTTTACTTCAGTAATAATACTTTTGCGCGGAGGGTAGTTTTCACGCGAATATGCCGCTAGTTATAGGCATAACTGAGTTGAATGATATTTTTTCAGATCAGCTTCACACGACCGACTTCCGGTCCGCTATTCGCGGAGGATATCGTCATCGAGTCCTAGGAGGTGATCCAAACTTCGAGAAGACAACGCTTGCGAGAAGAGACTGCTATTGTCAGTTGTCACAGTGATATATGAGAATATGAGGGAATGGGGATGACGGGTAAAATTCGAACGAGTGCACGAAAACGAGAAAAGCAACTCAATTTCTTCCACGGTGATGTTCACGTTGTGGGGACAAAAGGAGCCCCGTCCTTGAAGCTCTCCGGAGAGATCAGAGACGGAGCTCACTCACCGAAAGATGCGAGGGAAGATGAATCTGAGAGAGCTCGAGACCAGTCTGCGAACGCCGTATGTCCGAAGCAATGCGTAGGAATCACTCTTATTCTATATATTATTATTATGACTCTCAATGTCGATCAGGGAGTACGATCACGCTGATCCCTATAGTCTCTGTAGATTTGACTGCCGTCTCATTCGAGCCGGGGGTCGGATGTCAGAGGGTTGTCGTTTTGTACTCGAGGCGGATCCCTCACAATCAGCGACTCGAAGTAGTGTGACTGTGGAACAAGTTCCTCTTCGATAAACTCCGTGGGACGCAGTCGCGGCGATTATCGCAAACACCTTCAACGATTCAAACCGGAGGCGGTAGAACTACTCATTGGCGTCAAATGTACGCGCGGATCAAGTATACCCCATTCTTAATCAAGATTTATCAATTTGTACGTTCAGACATCCGGGCATCGTTCGGATCCAAGTCGCCGCTCTCCGAAGAAGGGAGAAGAAGAGGTCTAGGCTTAATTAATCTATATCGCATCCCTAATAGGGGAAGGCTGCCTTCCGTCAGCGCACCGAGGACTTCAGCGATCGCATCTTCCCTGCGCCTGCAGCTGCAGCAGCACTGCTCAATGGAATGAGGACTTAAATTCTCGAAATCACAGCAAGTTTCCCACGAGTCTACGCTGCCATCGATTCTTTCCGGATTTTGATACGAACATACTTTCATTGGGATGGATGGGACTCAATGGATCGAACTGAGTGTTGCGTACATGCTACTAAGATCGCAAGGTTTTCCCGCTAGATTGCAAGCACTTGATCCGAATCAGAGGTTTGTCTTCCGTTGACGTCGATATAGCATCGTCTCGCGCCGGGTAGAGATCACGCCACATCGAAACCGCCCTATTCGCGTCTTTTTTTCCTTGATGTCGATCGCGCCCCGACGGCATATCCTTACACTACTAGGAGACATCCTCGTTGCTTCTGCCTCAACGTATGCTATCGCCTTCGGGCATCAGGAAATTGCTCCCTCCAAAGCCCCGTTTTGTTCTCGCAAAATCTGTCTGATGAGTTTCGCGGGCGAGGAAATACAAGTCTGGCCTCTGCCCCGAGTCAAGTGCGATTGAAGATGGAGATCCCCGGATTTTTCATTGCTCTCGGGGAGCCTGATTCGGGAACTTGATATTGGGTGTGTTCATGAGTAGCAATTCCACAGGTGGAACCCTTGCTTACCGGGAGAGTCGCCTAAAATAATATTATATGATAATTGCGAATGCATAAGGCCTGCCAGATACCCTCATCGTTGAACTGCCCACCCGAAGAGCGAATCCCGATCAGGATTGAAATCAAACTCAATCCTGGCAGAGTCTGAGTACGGAAGCTTTCCTGGACTCCGGGAAAATATCGGGAGAATATTTTTCTCCATCAACCGATTTTCTGCCGAGAATATTTCGAAGACCTCTATCCTCATGGGCGCTCGGATCTCCACAAAGAGTCTGCGTAATCGTCACGGCTACCCTGTCCCTACACCCGTGGATGTCATAAGTCGTTATGTCCACTTCGCGTGCGTGTACATGAGTACCAGGCTGGTGGGTGAAACACACTACCGTTGCTGCCTCGTCTAGCTAGCGGATTGTCTGGCTTTTTCATCTTTTCGTAGAGTTGGATTAGATACAGGTTGATTTTTTGTTTCGTTCTTCAATCACTCGTGCGAAGACGATTGTAGAGCTGCCATGGAATCGAGTCGAGAAGGCGTTCGTGCTCTACCGATACGCGATTTTCTCGAGAAATTATGGTCGTTGATTCAAGTGGAGGCTTCTCCACCAGGCCGCCAAGCGACCCGAGTGCATATGACTGCTGAATTGTGACAAATTGTTGTAAAAAAAGTTTTCGCTTCTCAAACCGAATCTAACTGTGTTTTCAGGACTCAAATCACAGATTTGTGCAGATAGCAGAGAGATATAAGACAAAAATTCGCTTTCGGCCGTCGGGGCGCGCTTTCTACTGCTACTTAGATTCTATACGATTTATGACAGACGGGTTCAATGAAAAGATAGAGGACAATTTTCTAGAAATTATCGAGGAAACGAAGGTTTGCTGTCATGTAAAGTAGATGAAGAAAGAGCGAAAGAAGGATTAAAGTCTTCGAATGTTAAGACCAAGCTACTGAGTCTTCTCTTCCCTTTATCTCCGGTGAAAAAGAAAATATTAAAAAAAGGCGGGTCCGATGGGATGAGTCTTGTGTCTCAGAATCGCTCACGCGTGCTCTCATGGTGATCCACGACGCCGACGATCTGAATTTCCATGAAGACTCAAGCGGTCTCCCAAGCTTTTCGGATGCCGTCCCCGCTGAGAGACTCCCGTACGACATCAATCAATGTGAGGTTACGTCGAGATTCCACAGTCATCCATGACCGTGGCGGTTGGCCCGTTCCGCGCTTCATCATTTGAACACAGCACTCGGCTCGCGTACCCAGGGGTCACCTTGCCGAAGCTATGATTTCGAGCTCCACTCCTTATCTGCTCAGACTGCTCAGGGTGCTGTGGCAGTCAGCGAGGTATTCCATGTTTCGCCATGCTTCAGAAGATTGAATGCTATGAATTTCTCCTGGAGCTTGTTTGAGCTCTCTGAGCGCAGGGTGGCGCCTCTCCGCTTCAACCGTCTGCAATGTTTACCATCAGAAGAGGCGACACGACCGTGCAGTAGTTGCAAGAGACCGGTCCCAAAGGTGGAAAACTCGACTTTTCTCGCGTCGATTGAGCTTCAGTGCGACCGCGGTCGCCGCGATCTGCATGGGACTCCCTCCACTATATTGGACTCATCCGATGAGTTTACTCGTTCATGATTCTATATCCTCCGCGGAAGGCCCCCGTTTCCGATCCCTTGATCAGCTGACCGCGCGGATCGCACCGGCTCCCGCGCGGTGCTCATATGGCTACTCAGTGTTTTTGTCTGCCAGATATAGATAGAGGCCGTCAGTCAGACAATAGAGTGATGTCGATATGCCCTAGCCATTCGGTGAGCTGCTATCTCGAAGCACGCGCAGGAGAGTGATGCACCTCTCAAAGTCCAATGGCTCTTTCCCCTAACGCTGTCTGCGGGAGCTGCGCCATGCCTTTGATGCAAGGCCATCATAATTCACTTCGTTTTGTCAGGATGCTTCAGCGTCGACTGGAAAGTAGTGGCCTTCGGACGACGCCCGTGGTTGTGTCCTCGCGGGGTTACGAAGAAGCCGTTTCCCAGCTCAACAAGCTTCAAAGTAATGTACAAGCGATCGAGGAGTCGGTCAAGTTGCGACAGACGACGGCTCCCCTGACATACACAAAGTGCTCGAACTATCTCCATGCTCTCGGCATCGAGCAAAAGCAGCTCACTGCTATGCGAGTCGTGCACGTGAGCGGCACGAAAGGCAAAGGCTCGACATGTGCATACACGGAATCCATTCTGCGCTCGTACGGCTATAAGACAGGCTTCTACTCGTCGCCTCATCTGGTCGCAGTTCGGGAACGGATACGAATCAACGGAAAACCGATCAGCAAGGCTATATTCGCCAAACACTTCTGGCACACCTTCGACATCCTGACGGACTTCGAGCAGCGTTCCGGTGAGAAGGTTCCGATGTACTTCGCTTTTCTCACCATGATGGCTTTCCGAGTATTCATGCACGAGAAAGTTCATGTCGCGGTCGTAGAGGTGGGGATCGGCGGCGAATATGATTGGACGAATGTTGTTGACCAACCCAGCGTGGTCGGGATCACCTCTCTCGGTTTGGATCACACCAGGTTGTTGGGTGACACGATTGAGCAGATCGCATGGCACAAAGGGGGTATCATGAAATTTCTCGTGCCCGCTTTCACGGTGACACAGCCGGCTTCGGCCATGGAAGTTCTGCAGAAAAAAGCAATCGAGCGCCGTTGCCACCTATACTGCGTGCCATCCCTCCACCTCTACGACACGAAGGAAACTTTCGTCAAATTGGGTATTCCCGGAAAAGTACAGATGGAGAACGCTTCGTTGGCAATTCAGCTCGCTCACTTCTGGATTAAGAAGAACGACCCCCTTCGCTTCCCGCACGTCGAATGGGGAGTCACGCCCAGAGAGGATGTGTGGAACTTCTCCTACGCCGAGACCGACCGAACTCTAGCCCGACCATTCGCACTTCCAAAGGCCACCATGGAAGGGTTAACTCAGTGTCGGTGGCCGGGACGATGTCAGCTGCTAGTGCAGGGGAATACGTCGTACTTCCTCGATGGTGCGCACACACTAGAGTCCATGGAAGAATGTGCGCGATGGTTCGTAAAATGTCACAAAACTGCATCGAAACGTTACAAAATACTCGTGTTCCATTGTACAGGGGATCGCAACAATCAGACCCTGCTGAGTCACCTCGGGGGTAGCGAATTCGACTGTGCAATATTCACGCCAACACGCACTCACATCGAGAGTTCGATCTCAAGTGATAATTCGAACTTTACTGTGAATATCGAAAAGGAACGAATGAAGTGTCTCGACGATGAGCAAGTTTTCCTAAAACTTGTGAGGGAGCGTCCCGTGCAAACTAATGTTGTTTCGTGCGTTGCTGAAGCTGTTCATCTGATCAGGATGATCTCCAAAGAGAAGCTCGAAAAGAGTATCAAAGTATCAGCTCTAGTAACCGGCAGCCTTCACCTTGTCGGTAACACGCTGTCGATAATCGACCCCGATTCGGAATGATACCAAAAACGATCGGTATCTCAATGCCGGAGGGAAGCAGGGAATATCGATCCTTCACTCTGCATTCGGGTCAGAGGAAACTTTCGGAGCTACCGAATTTTTGTGAGCGATGCCAAGGACTTATCCAGTACGTTTCGAGTTCGGTCTCGAGAAGCTTGTAGTATTTCAGATAACATCGACCGATGTTTTGTATATGACACCTCGATTATGGAATAAATGTTATGAATGAATGTTGCGATTGATGCAGTGTCTGAGATCCTAAGTACGATTCCCCCGTGATTCGTGCAACGGACCCAGAGGCAACGATCGGTACTGGACTAAAGGAGCATGACGAGACCTTGCAAACCTATAGAGTGTAATCCAGACTTTCCTGGAGCTCTCCGTGAATCCAAACATAAGCCTCTTAGGGAAGACGTAAGCACTTCCCGTCCGTGTGCGCAGTACTTTTTGTCACTTGTCGAGATTATTATGCAAAGCAAGACACTCTGTGAGTTTGATGTGACGAATGAGCACCAATCCTCGTTCTCGATCTCTCGCTACACGGATTCCGGTTCGGGAGAGAGGTATCGTGGAACCTGACGTAATAGCGGCGATCTGTCGGTACCGTACGAGATGCTTGCCGTGCTGATGGAATATGCTGTCACAGTCCCAACGTTTCGAAGTCACCTGTACCCCTCGATTTTAGCTTAGCTTGGAGGGAAATAACGCGGGGAGTTTTGTCCACGACTCATTGCAGGAAGAAGAGGGTTTCAGATAGGGAGGACGAGCTTAACTTCTGGGTTCTAAGCCGGGTGGTCATTTCAATGTGGCGCGCGTCGTCTGAAATCTGAATCGAGCAGAACGCGAGGATGGAAGTCGAAGGGCTATCCATGGTATTTTTTTGGGCTATTTCGCGGAGCCCTCATTCCCATTCACTGCACAGCGGGGAAAGGCTCGTCGTGAGAGATTTTCGAAGCTGACTCCGTAAACAGATCCGCTTTGGCTCCGATGATTCCGTTTCACGTCAATTCTCATTCGGTCCAGATTCGGTCAAGGTCTCGGCGGACGACGATGTTTTGCCTTGTTCAGCCGCCACTCGAAGCAACTCGACGTGCTTCTTTCTTGCCTCTCAACGATCACCCTGTCAGCGAGGGAGCGTTTGATCGAGGTTGGATAAGACTGGCTCCCTGCTCAGTCGACGGATCACATGGAAGATGAAGTCGGGGGCCTCTCAGCAGGACTTTCCGATACTTCCAGTTAGTCACATGTCTACTGAGTCAGCGTGTATCGTGGAATCCGCTTGACAGTTCACCATATTGCCCGGGCTCTCCAGCCGAGTCAGCGAGTCTTCCGAATACATGTAAGGACTCGCTGTCAGGACGCGGGTGGAATACCATCTGAACCAGCAGGGAGCGGGGGTACTGGACAATGGAGCGGGTCTGTCGATCATCCGATGGGCCGATTATTCGGCTCGCGCTCCATAGGTATATGCCCCCGGGTAGCTTATCAAGGGACCGTTATACCCTCCCATGATCAGGGAAGTTTCACGGGAGCTCGCAACCCGAGCGCTGCTCGGCATTTCGGTGGAATTCGGCATTTCGAAATCGGATCCTAGCCAGTAGGTCGATCAAGCTTGGACTTCACCCAACCGGAGACGCTCGCCGGCTTCGATTGAGAAGCTGCGCGGATATAGCGGTCTCCTACAGGGCGCTACCTTGTTTTCATTGTCATATCAGATTCTCCCTCCCTCAGGCATTTCTTGATGGCAGAAGCCCTCGATCTCGGAAGGGTTAGAGCGAACGATCTTAGGAAAGTTTCGGAAGCCTCCCCAGGTCTCAACTCCTAGGAGGACCCGAAGGGTTGCCCTGAGCGGGGTGAGGCGCGTCTAACTAGGCACATCGACTGAGTTCCACCTCTCCCATCGTAATTGTATTTCCAATTCGATATATTGGGAGCGGGGAAAGGGTCTTCCAGAGAAATCGATGTTATCACTGGATGAATAAGATCGCATGATCATCCAATCGATGTAAGATCATTGGAACTTTCGCTCGATGACAGGCTCCTGCCGCCGGATGAAGAATGACAAGGATGTGAAGGCTGATAAGTGCCAAAGAATTCAAGAACCCTTCCCCGAGTTTCGTTCATGAATCATGCACCGCGGAGAAAACTACGCACTCGCGCATACCGAATCTCTTGTTTCGGAATAGGAACGTGACGATGTTCGTCAGCTGGCATGCCTCGCGAGCCCGCGTATGCGGATGAGACGGTACCTGCCTCAACTGTTATCTCACAAATACGGAAAATAAGAAGAAACGTGAGCACTGCTCTATTCATTGTTCTTAGAAGACCTCATTTTGCTCACCGGTTCTCCGGTACCAGGTTCCCGCTGCGCTAGAAAACTGTCCCCTATGTTTGAGTCAAGTTCTTTTCGAGTTGTTTTCAAGATACTGTGGAGCCATTAGATTCTACAGTTCTTGCTTACGTATTCTCTCCAGACTCTGTACACATACCGCGGAGCCCCGACCATGTTTTCCGCGCGTCTCTGTTCCCTTGACCTTGTTGCTTGATTGAAATGAAGCAACTCCGTGATTCCTGGCTCGCGGGACATTTCAATATCGACTGTTTCCTTGAGGAGAACTTCTTGCTGGCAATCATACAAGATAGCCCCTGAGTTTCGACGTGAAAACGTCTTTCGAAAGGCTGGGGGTATTTCGAGAGAAACTTCGTCATCATGCAGCGTTTTTTGTAGCATTTCGCGGGGCCAGAACTCATCAAGTGCTCGACGGATTTCCACCAAACTGATGTCTAATGATCGTAAATTTACGGGAGACGATCGTGGCTAGGAATCATGAAAATCAGAATGCTCCTTAATATATTCCCGTCACGATCCAAACACCCCACTAAATTGTGTAGGAAAAAGCATGAATTTCCGTTTTTCATAAAATTCAGTGGATGCAGTACGCTGGTACGATGAGCATCGGTAGATAAGTAAGATTCGTATCAGTTGCATCGATGATCTCGACTCTGAGTACTGAGTACTGACCGATGGACATAAGCATAGTCAGAGAAGAATTGACCGTCGCGATCACTGACGGACTCTCTGTTCCTAACGCTTCTGTCCTCACAATTGGAACCCGGGTTTTCCCCCTTTGGGCATCAGGCTTGTACCAAAATACGAGGGCTGCAGAAGCGTTTTAACGGGTGAGGGTACGAGGATCAGGGCAGGATTTCAACACTTCCCGGATTACTAATAACTAATAACGATGTCGATGGAATTCTCATCATGAGGCCGAAGACTCGTACTTAACAGCAACGGAAGCGTCGCGCAGGAAGGGGAGAATCTTCTCGAAACAGACCCCGAACCTCCTCAGAGAGATCGGCGTCATGTCGGGCGCGACAAGGTCACGCACCAGAATCGAGTCATACGGGGACAGATCATGTCGAGTCAGAGGCGGTGGCACGAAACGTCATTCGATCCAGAGGTATGTGACACGGGCCTCGACGAGGCTACTGATTGTACACGAGGTGCAGATTACGAAATCTGATGGTCTCGAGCGACTGGCCGTTTCAAGCAAATCAAAAACTTGGCCATAAATGCGACGTCTGTTATCGCCTCTGGTTCCTCCGTGATCTGAAAACGGTCATCTCGATGGCGACTTTCCTATCGACTCACTTCCCGGGGGTGGATACCACGCGATATCGGCTCTCTTCCTCATGTTACAGCACATCTCGGCGCGATGAAGCTCCGCCAATGAGCATGACGGATGGCTATAGGTATCCACCCAAACCATCGGTCTCGCATAAGCTAGACCCCATAAGCGAGCGACTTGTCTCCCCAAGAATTCCTTACATGCAAATACGCCGCTTGCGTCGGGACGGTTCTTACGGTATTGTCGGTCAAGTCATTAAGGAGGAGATATCGAGTGAAATCACCGATGAATTGATGAAAGTGCATGCATTAATGCTATCTCAATAATAATATGTAGATTAGATAATCCAAAGGGATAGATAATAATATCTAGACTAGAGAGAGAGACAGAAGACATTTTCACGTTCTATAACACGGTAGTGTCGTAGGCGCTACTGGCCTTGGCTTTTTTTTCGTGATGTAAGGATCGGGTGAGCTGTTTATAGTGTGTTCCCAGAGGGAAGCTTCCGTCACTTTGTCGAACTCGAAATCTGGAAGCAACAACGTCGGCGAGACCGTGAGCCTCGAAGACACACTGGATGCGAGTTGTGAGTTCTTGAGGATGTTCAGCGCTGATATGAAGCCGGATACAGGTAGCCCCGAAGGCTCACCGAGGGCGGCAAGCGGAAGAAGTCCGTGATGAACCCATTACGCGGAATCACCACCCTTGTCCCAGCTTTATGAGACGCGTTCCAGCCTCCGATGCTCCACAGTTCGCAGGCTTCCAAGCCGTAGCGATGTCGAGACATGGATGTCATGATACTCTTTATGACGCCCGTCGGTGGTTTCGGAAATACTGGTTTCGAAGTGATCCCATCACGATAGGCAATGAGAAAAGGAATTGAGCTTGAGGCACCTGAAAGAGAGCCTGAGATCTGGAAATCAAGCAGGAGTTTGCTTCTCGCAACAATCTATATATATAAAAACGTATGTCTGTTTGTCTGTTTGTCTGTCTGTCTGTTTGTCTGGTGTCACCTATAGACTCGAAAACGGCTGAACCGATCGTCGTGAAAATTTAGGAGCGTGTTCTGGGCGATCCAGCGGTGGTTATAGGGGGGTCAGTTCTCCGAAGCGATGAGTCGTTCTACCATAAAAAAATTATTTGAGTATTTTCCCTTGAAAATCCGAAATCTCGGAAACAAATTGAAAAATCGCAAACTCGCTAAATTCACAAACGCCTGAACCGATCGCCGTGAAAATTCAGGGGTGGGTTCTCGGGAGTTGTAGAAAAGCGATGAGGGGGTCGTCGTGCCCGTATGATGAGGATGAGCTTTTTTTCCCTTGGAAATTGAGTACCGGGTCCCTAACCGGAAATCGTTCGGCGGGAGTTTCCAGAGTTCTCCAGAATTTTCGTGATTCCTTCACATCTATATATATAAAAACGTATGTCTGTCTGTCTGTCTGTTTGTCTGTCTGGTGTCACCTATAGACTCGAAAACGGCTGAACCGATCGTCGTGAAAATTTAGGAGCGTGTTCTGGGCGATCCAGCGGTGGTTATAGGGGGGTCAGTTCTCCGATGCGATGAGTCCTTCTACCTTAAAAAAATTATTTGAGTGTTTTACCCACGAAAATACGAAATCTCGGAAAAAAATTGAAAAATCCGAAATTCGCAAAATTCACGAACGCCTGAACCGATCGCCGTGAAAATTCAGGGGTGGGTTCTCGGGAGCTTCAGGGAGGTCATGTGAGGGTCGTCGTTCTCATGTGATGGGTCTTCCCTCCATGGAAAAAATTATTTGAGTGGTCCTCTCAACCGAGAATCAAAGATTTCATCAAGGGAAAGACGGGAATTCGCGGGATTTCTTATCGGCTGGACCACCATGAGGGGGCGGATTCTTGGGAGCTCCTGAGAAGTCTATCGGGGGTTGCCGTCATCACTGGCCTCTGACTTTTTACTAATGAATCTCGCTGAAAATCGCTGTAGCCGTGAAGTGTATCGATTTTTCCGGAGGACATCTATCTATATATATAAAAACGTATGTCTGTTTGTCTGTTTGTCTGTCTGTCTGTTTGTCTGGTGTCACCTATAGACTCGAAAACGGCTGAACCGATCGTCGTGAAAATTTAGGAGCGTGTTCTGGGCGATCCAGCGGTGGTTATAGGGGGGTCAGTTCTCCGAAGCGATGAGTCGTTCTACCATAAAAAAATTATTTGAGTACTTTTCCCTTGAAAATCCGAAATCTCGGAAACAAATTGAAAAATCGCAAACTCGCTAAATTCACAAACGCCTGAACCGATCGCCGTGAAAATTCAGGGGTGGGTTCTCGGGAGTTGTAGAAAAGCGATGAGGGGGTCGTCGTGCCCGTATGATGAGGATGAGCTTTTTTCCCTTGGAAATTGAGTACCGGGTCCCTAACCGGAAATCGTTCGGCGGGAGTTTCCAGAGTTCTCCAGAATTTTCGTGATTCCTTCACATAATCTATAAATCTGTCTGTATGTCCCCTATAGACTCG